GGAAATAAGCGCATCACTTGTTGGCCCGTGTGCTTGTCATGCCAAGCCTTAGTTTGCTCATTGTAAATCTTGGCTTTCTCATATGCATCATTACGGAACTCATCCATCTCATTAAGCGTCTGTGGTTTCTCAATTGATGGAATAGTGCGTGATAGGCCTCGACCCAAAGCTTCAAAGTACCTCCGATTGTTAGGTCCGAAAGAATCCATCCAGTCCATAAACTCCATAGCTTCATGATCTTCTATTGCACTAGTTTCCGGATAACTTAGACAAGCTTCCAAAGGCTCTTAAGGTTGGCCAAGATGCTCAGTGACCAAGGTGTTAATTGTTTCAATTCGAAAATAACTATCACTCGCTTGCTGGTATTTGGAAACATTAAATACATTGAAAATCACCTCCTCCTCTTGTACTCTTAGGCGAAGTTCACCCTTTTACACATCAATAAGAGCCCGACCGGTTGCCAAAAATGGTCTCCCAAGTATAATGAAAATTTCCTCGTCTTCTTCTATATCCAAGACAATAAAATTGGCCGGAAATATAAACTTATCAACCTTGATGAGTACATCTTCAATAATTCCTCTTGGGTGTTTGATGGAGCGATCGCCAATTGTAATGAGACCATAGTTGGTCTTGCTTCTCCTAGTCCAAGCTTTTTGAAAATTGACAAAGGCATTAAGTTAATGCTTGCACCTAAATCGCATAGTGCCTTTTCAAAAATAGAATTTCCAATAGAACATGGGATGGTAAAACTCCCCGGATCTTTAAGCTTCTGAGGCAACTTCTTTTGCAAGATGGCACTGCACTCTTCAGTAAGTGCAACTGTTTCATAATCCTCAAGTTTTCTCTTGTTTGACAGGATATCTTTCATAAACTTCACATAGCTCGGCATTTGTTCAGGAGCTTCGGCGAATGGGATGTTTATGTGCAATTTCTTAAAGATGTCCAGAAACTTTGAAAATTATTTATCAAGCTTACTTTTCCGAAGGCGTTGAGGAAAGGGGATACTTTGTGATGGCTCCACCGGCAAATGTTGTTGAGCTGTAGGAATTTCACCACTATTCTCCAAAGATTGATCTTTGGGTGACGAAGCCTCTTCATTACTTTTGCTAGACTTCTTAGGCTTTGGGAGTGTATTTAATTCTTTCCTGCTTCTCAAAGTAATGGCCTTGCATTGCTCTATTGGATTCACCACCGTTGTACTTGGCAAATTACCTTGTTGACGATCATTTAGCATGTTAGCCAATTGACCGATTTGCACCTCTAAGCTTCTGATCTGAGCCGATTGATTTTAGAAATTTGTCCTGGTTTCATTCATAAATTGTGTGTGAGAGGTAGCCAATTGAGCCATTGCATCTTCTAGATTCACCTTCTCCTCTTGTGGTAGGTTACTCTGTTTGGGTTGCAACACATTTTGAGTGTTTCTCTAAGACAAGTTTGGGTGATTACGCCATCCTTGATTATTGGAGTAAGGATTGTTCTGTTGCCTATTAAAATTTTCTACATATTGAGCCTGCTCCATTTGTACCTGTGCAAAAGGGTTGTGAGCTTGACATTCAGAACCTTGATGAGGCCCATTACAAAATTCACAAACTGGAGATAATGCTTGGATGGCATTGGCAGTCAGATGATTATTTTGTAATTGTTTGGAAAGAAAAGCAATTTGGGCCATGAGTTTAGTGATGGCATCTATCTCATGTACTCCGGCTGTCTTCTTTGGTATGCTTCTTTCACTAGGTCACTGGTAATTATTGGTTGCCATATCTTCTAGCAACTCATATGCTTCATCTTCATTTTTCTTCATTAATGCTCCTCTTACAGATGCATCGATTAGAGTTCTTATAGTGCCACTCAACCCATTATAGAAATTATGGACTTGCATCCATTTAGGTAGACTATCATGAGGACATCTTCTCAGTAACTCCTTGTATTTCTCCCATGCTTCATATAGAGTTTCACCTTCATATTGAGCAAAATTGTTGATCTCGATGCGCATCTTCGCTGTTTTAGCCGATGGGAAAAACTTAGAAAGGAACTTTTGAACTAAGTCTTTCTAACTAGTGATCGAATTTGGTGGTAGTGAATTCAACCAACTTTTTACTTTATCTCTCAAAGAGGAAGGAAACAAACGAAGGCGAAGAGCTTCATCATTAACTCCATTGTATTTGACAATATCGTAAATCTCCAGAAAATTTACGATGTGAGCATTAGGATCTTCATTCGGCAATCCATTAAATTGGATCGCTTGAATCATTTGCAACATTACCGGCTTCAATTCAAAATTATTCGCCTGAATAGCAGGCCTCCTGATCACTGATTGAACACCGGTTGGTCGCAATACATAATCTCGCAATGCCATTGGCTGATTAACCACCGGTGGATTGTTCAATGGTATGTTGTTGTTGTTGTTCTCATTTATTGCCCCTTCAGGATCAGCTATAGTTTCTTGCGACTGAATGACAGTTTCTCTCTTCTCTTTTCTATTTCTTCGACAAGTACGCTTAATTTTTGAATCAAGAGGAAGTAGAATAATGCTCCCAAACTTTCGCATGCACGTAGAGTAAATTCCTGTAGAGCACAAAACAAGAACAAGAAAATAAATAACAAAATAAAATCCAAAGTAAAACTAGAGTTATTTGGTATCGATATTAGTAAAAACAAAACAATCCCCGGCAACGGTGCCAAAAACTTGTTGTGAAAAATCGTAACGCAAGTATACGCTATCGCAATCAAGTAATATAATAGTGAATAAGAATATCATCCCATGAGGATTGTTGTTTACTAATTACCGAAATTATATTAACCCTAATTTTATTTGAGTAATCGAAAAGAGAGTTTATAAAATTAAGTAAAGTAAAATTAAAACGATTAAATAAATCAAACAATGCTAAGCAATGGAATAAAATTCAATAGATTAAGACTCTAGGGTTTCCGATTTCACCAAAATTAATTATGTTCAAATTCTCATAATTCAAGAAAATTAACATTCAATTTTATACTAACAGTAATTCCTCTAAAGCAATTATTATTCTTTTTCAAGCAACAATAATATTAATCCAACAAGCAAAATCTAAATCTCTGTCAGACTTCTAAACCTGTTGAAAATCATTAAGTGCAAGAAATTTAAAGAACTGCACAAGTATCATAGATATCTCTATCCTATGAACAACTCATGGTATTTCCATTAAAAGCCTATTTAATTATCACATCTCAGTCTCAAATCAAATATAAAATCATGTAATAGTTGGCCAAACAATCACAAGCATTAAGAATAAATTGAAATACTCAGCATATATGGATTAAACATCAATTACTTAAAAAGAAAATAGAGAATTTGAACATTCATAATCCGACTACATCGTAGCCCTAGAAAAAGAAATTAGTTCATCTCTAAACAAAATAAATTTCTAAACAAAGTCTTAATCGTTGGAAAGGAAAGAAAAGAACTAGTTTGGGGTTGAATTGAAGCGTCTCCGTCTCCGGATTTTTACCGTTGTTCTTCTCCGTACTCAATTCTCTTTTTTTCTTCTTGAATCTCTTCTCAAAATTCAACCGTCATTCTTCAGTCCAAAAGTCCCATCTAATTGCCCTAGAATCAACTATTTATATGTTTTCAAGCATTATGGTCAAAACGGGTAAGTTTTCTCACGATTAGCCTTCAAAACGTATCTTTTCTCGCGTCATAGCGCCGCATGCTGAGTTCCTAGCGCTGCGGCGTTGGCTGTGCAAAATCAGCCTAGTTTTTAGAGCACTGCGGCGCTGTAATGGGCGCCAAAACGCTAGTCACTCTGCCCACTGTACTGATTCCGTAAAACTCAGCGCCAAAACGCTATAAATTGGCGCCTAGGCGTTATGTTTGCTGTCTTTTTCCACCAAAAGTTGTCCAAACCTTTCCAAATCATAGACTTTCACCTAACCTTCAAACAAAGAACAAAAACACACATAAAAACTAACAAAAATCTCGAAAACTAACTAGATATTAAGTGTAAAACGATACTAAATGAGTGAGTAAAACTCACTCATCAACTTACCCGGTCCTCCTTAATTTGTCCAAAAAGCTTCAGCGTCTCCCCACCATTAACACCAGCTAGAGAATGCAGAGTAACGTCGGGTTGTAATGCCATCAACTCATCTTCGGTATCACACTCCTCTTCTACCGGATTCAGCGGTGTCTGGTCTTCATCGGCGGCAGCTCCCTCTGTTTCGGCCTGCATAACTTTTAGTTGACCCGTTTGACAACGTGACCATGGTCCCATTTTTCCTCACAACAGAAGCACCTCCCTTCTTCCAGCCGGCATTGCCTCTCTGCCTGTGAGTCTCCCCGCTGAATGGGGTCCAACGGATGCCCCTGATTTGTCCCTCCCCTGGGAGTAGGTAAAACAGGTGCGATGTGTCTGGGGTGTTGTGACCACCTAGCATCCACGTCAGCAACCTCCTATTCGACCGCTCCCCACTCATGCACTCACGTCCCTTCCCCAACCAAAAACATTTCTCACACCCCTTTGAGAAACCTTGTCGTATTTCCTAGACGACACCCCTTCGTGCCTAACAGGTAGTAATGTTTAAAACCCACGGTTACTAAAGGAAACTTCAAAGAAAAAAGTTCAAGCTAAAATATAGTCCAATAAAACATAATGTAGATGAGATGGTCGTCTAGTCGGAACCAGGAAAATGCCATAACAAAGGCTCTCTCTCTCTCTTAAAAAAAAAAAAAAAAAAAAAAACAAGAACCACAACAGTTGTAGAGTGGAAAGCAAGATAAGAAAGGTGTCTAACTGAAAGAGGCGTGACATGGAGAGATTCTTAATTAATCATGTACTGGTTATAGACCTCGTGATAAAGGTCAGACATGCAAAATAACTAGGAAAGAGAATGAAAAACTAAAAAATAAAATAAATATGATGCACAAGGAGGGAAACAGAAGGTTCAAAGGGACTAGCAATGTCGTGGCTCAGTGCCAATATTCAACCCAAAATCAAAAGTGCTCAAAATTAAAACAGATAAAAACCAGAAAAGTGAGAATTAAGATAGAAATATCTAATAAAAGTACCGTACATGATCAGATCTCATTATCAAAATAATAACAAATACAAACAAAAAGAAATCTAAAGCAAACAGCACAACAATATTCGTACATACAATTTAATAAGCAGCGTGGTTCACTCATAAGGGGAGCGAAAAAATACTGGTACAAGTTATAGTTTGTTAATGTTGATCATATAACAATCAAGCATCCTTGTAATCTTTTAAAGGCCGTGCTTCAAAGCCTCCTCCAGCTCTCTTGTCTAACGAGTAAGGCATATAGGTTCCGAGTATTCTATCCCACATGACAAAGAATGGTTGGGAGAAGTTGTACTTGCTTCCATATAGCTGATGATGAACATCATGATAGGCGGTATTGTTTCTAAAAAAGATGTGGAAGAGGTTCCCAGGAAGTAGCAATCCGCAATGATCATCAACGGTCTTGACGGTGGCGAAGGAGAAGAAGAAGATGGAAGCTCGTAGAGACATGCCAGATAGGAGAAATGATACGGCACCACCAATTGTGTCGAGGATAAGACCCTCCAAGGGATGATTATAAAGAGCTCCAAACGCATAGGGAACAACGAGGCGGTGATGTTGAGAATGGATGTGCTTGTACAAAAACTTATTCTGGTGCATGTATCTGTGCATGAAGTACTGCCAAGTATCCAAAACCAACATTGCAGTAACAAACTGTCGTGCCAAAACTATTAGAGAAGGCTTTTGATCTGCGGCGTCCTCACTGTCATTCCCTTTGACCTACATGATGACATGAATCCATCAAAAAGTAGACTCCTAGATATACAGGGCCTGTTCGGTTCGCTAATTCGAGTTGAGATGTGATGTTGTGTGAGAGCTTTTTACTGTAGTAAAAAAGTTAGATGTGACTGTTTCTGAGAGCTTTTTACTGTAGCAAAACTCGAATTCCAAACTCAAATCAACGAAAAGAACGAGGCCACAAAATCAAGATAGAACCATATGAACAGATACATAATACATAGTTTGTGGGTTGTCAAGTGCAAGTTGTTACACAAAAAAACAAAGTTACAATGTGGATTTGCAGGAAGTCACATAAAGAGGGGAGGGTTGCTGTAAAAGAAGAGTAGCTGAATGCAGGAGGTTATCAATAAGGACAATTTTGAAACAAAGCAAAAACCAACTACCCCATGTGCTTTCCTTTCATCAGCATGTGCTTTCCTTTCATCAGCAGACAACAAGGCTTTTGATAAAGTCAAATGTAGGAGCTGAAGATTTATCTTACACCGCTGACATTGTCATAATCAACTAAAGGAAACTTCATTTAAATGCTTTTCGCACAATTCTCAGTGCATATCATTCTTCAAGCTACCCGCATAAGCGTGAGAAGAGACATACAAGTACCTTACCCTCATAAACAAAGTAGCATCATAAGCTTCTAAATCAAGAAGAAAACAGCTGAAAACAACCACAACGGAAGAGTAATCAAACCTAATTCCTCATTCAGATCATGTATAGTTACACTTAAAGTCTTAAACTCTCACCCAATTATTGATCGCTTGAGCAACACATTCTAAAAGGCGTGTAGTTATAATAACTTAAAGTTGAACAGAATATAGATTCCTGTGAGCTAAAAGAGTCAAGTTCTAGATCATCGAATACTCAAAAACAGGAAATGCAATAAGTGGGGAAAATATCTGGGAAGAATCTTATTAAGCTCCAATTACCAGACCTCAACACTTCTCATCTCATGATACAATGTGACCAAAGCACCCTCTTTTTCAATAAAAATATAATATTATGATTATCCACGAGATGTGCCGGCTCAGTAATAAATCCACAGCCACTAATAATTAACACATACAAACATCATAATTTAGTGAAGGAAGCAGAGAAATATTTTTACACTTTCCAGCCACGGTGATAACAAGCAATCCAAACGCAAAAAGAAGATTTCACCATCACCAACATATCCTAAACATGAATTCAAAAAATTGCCTATTCTGTAACCCAATTGGCAGATGCATCTAACAATCCAGCCAAAACCTTTTTTTATTGGATTTAATCAACCATATTCCATGTCTAAAAAAGAAACTAATGTAAGCTCAAGCAAGTTCAGATTTAAAATTTTTTTTTTTCCTTTTTGGCAGTTATATTCATACCGTAAACAAGAGCATCCCAACAACAGCTTGAATGGTTTGCTGAAGAAGAACCCCTTTGACGACAGTTTGTTTAGACACCAAGTTCTTATCATCCTCTTCAATCTTCGAGTGCAACCGGTAATTCTCAAACGAACCCAGAAGAGCATAAATCCCAGAATAAACCCAATATATCACGATCGGAGCAAAAGTTCCCAACAATTTATCGGAAACCGAGAAACCCATTTTTCCCAAAAGGCGTTGACGATCAGAAACTGGATCCAAATCCCAGGAATAGCATCAGATTTCCACAGATTTTCTCGATTCCAAACTCGGTGTCGATGGAGAATCCGAGATGGGAAGAAGTTTTTAAAAAAATGGCCTAACCCGAAATTTCCTAAATGGGTTAGGGAAGACGAACGGTATTTTCTTTGCCGTGATCGGAAAAAAAAAATCAGTCGGCAGACAAATGTTTTGGGTTTTTGTTTGGAGAAATGATATTCGGCATCTCAAAATCACAACTCCGCACAACTCCGGAGATGAACTGGCACATACTAACGTTCATAAATAAAGTAAAAAGTAAAAATTAAAGAGTTGGAGAACCTTTTGGTGAGATGGGACCCATTGCTCAGCTAGAAAATACTTGTTCCACTCTTCACTTTTGTTTTAACCACTTGTTCTCTCAACCTGAAGTGAACTTTTTGTTTTTTTGCAAGTTAATCATTCTGGGCCCGGCCTGCCACTATTAGCCCAGTCTGATCTTAAAATTTTCAAATCATTCTGGGCCCGGCCCGCCACTGTAAGCCGGATCTGATCCTAAATTTTTTAAATTTGAGTTGGATTGGCCGACTCTTTCTTATTTAATCCGACATAAGAAATAGGCTAAGATTTGGAGTATGTTTGGTAGGAAAGAAAAGTAGAAGGAAGGAAGAAGGTGGAGGAATTTTAGGAGAGAAAATGAAAATGTTGGTTATTTGGTATGAGAGAAAAGAGAATGGAAGAGAAAATGAAGTGGAAAATAATACACGTGGGTCTCACTATTTTTTTTCTTTCCACAAGTGGGCAGAAAATGTGATGAAAAATAGGGACAACTCATTCAAGTGAGCAAAGTTACTAAACTATCATTTTCTCCATCAACATCCAAGCAAAAAATTTAAGGGTATAAAAGTAATTTACGAGTAAGATTTTTTCTTTCATCCCAATTTAACTTCTAATACCAAACAAGTGAAGGTAAGCTCATTTTCTTTCCATCCTCTCATACAAAACAACATAAAAAAAAAAATCAATTTCCTTTCCATCATTGTTATTTTCTATCACTTTCATATTTCCTTTCTATCCTATTTTCTTTCCTTCCTACCAAACATAGCATGAGATGAATTAAAATCAATAGGTCAATAGTTTACATAAGTTAATAAATATAGCAAATTACTGTTTTCGTCCATAACTTGTCTGGTTATGAACCATAACTTAACAAATTTATTCATAACTTATTTGATTATGAGCCATAACTTGACAAGTTATGGCCTATTAATTTCTATAACTAAAATTGGCCCATATACTTTCTTAAACTTTTCACATATTTTCTACTATTTCCCTTTATTTATTTATTATTTTTTTTTTTTATATAAGCCTAGTTTCAAAACTAGTGAAAGTAAATAGCCGATTTACCCAAGATTGGAAATGAATAGGCCTTTTCCGACTTTTAATATTTTGTTTACCAATTTTGCCCTTAGTTATATATATATATATATATATATTTTTTTTTTTTCCTCAGATTAATTCTTCTCTCTCTACTACGCTCTCTCTTTCTCTCTCTCTGCTCTCCCTCTTCGAGAGTCTCTCCATCTCTACTCTTTCTCTCTCTGTTCATCTCCTCCGCCTCCCATCTTTGACGGAGCACCTCGCTGCGGCGTTGCCGGAGATGGAACCACAAGGACGATAACAAAGAAGACGCTGGATTTCTACTCTCCTTCTTCGAGTCTTTTTCGATCTCTCTGTCTCTGTTCTCTCCTCCGCCTCTCATCTTCGACGGAGGACCTTGCGGCGGCGCTGCCGGAGATGAAACCACGATGACGATAACGAAGAAGAAGACATGGGAGCTGGCGACGTGTGCTCGGCCTCATAGATCTGGCGCTTGGTAGTTGTGGATGTCATAGGTATCGAAGATTCACAACTTGGGAGATCGCGAACGATCGACGAAGCTCGCAACGTCTTGAAATGATATATAACAGATTTACAATAAGAATTAATAACGAATTGAAATGATATATTTGGAGTTTAAGAGTATGGTTCATTTTCTGCGGAATTTAGGTGAACTTTTCTGCGAAATTAGGTGAGCTTTAAAACTGATAATGAGTGCAATCGTGGCAGGGGAAAACTTGGACTTTGCTTATGATAGCATTTCAGCCTTCGCTAGGAGAGACAATCAAGAAGCAATTTTTGGAGCCGAAGAAATTGTAAGACATTAGGTAACATACAATTTGATGCTTCTTAAAATTTAGTAGTAATTGAACAGACCATACTTTGTGATTCAAGTCTGAAGATCTTGAAGAAATTTTAGTGTTGTTTTTTGCTAGAAGAAATTATGGTGCTGGTAGTGCAATATAATTGACTATTTTTTAATATCTATTTCTCGTCAAATTGTGTCAAGACACGAAAGGGAAGAATTGAAGGGTAATTGGGTGTTATTTTTTTGCAAGACACAAAACATAATCATGCATGTACAATTCGTTGCTTTGTGTATGAGTTCTTTAAGATTAGTCTTTATCTATTTACTTGCTTGACTACTGATTTTAGATGTTCATTTGGTTTTCACTTTAGTTGATAAGGTGATATAACATTACGTTTTCAAATTCTCTGATAAACTATTACCTGCAAATATAAAGTGAGATAAAAAAGAATGTTAGAGAATAATAATTGTGGAGACTATTTTTCTGGTGTTGTGAATCCTCTTGATGAGTTTGTTCTTCTATCTTTCAATTTATTGCATTGTTCTTCTGTATTTCATTTTATTGCAAAGTCTAGTCAACAATCTATTCTACTATAAGAAACTTGAATTCTTTCATTTAGTTACTCATGACAGTGTGTATGCTTGACATGTGCTGCTTTGTTCTCTTTTTTACGTTTAGTGTTAAGTGGACGCAAGAAACTGCTAGCGGGATCTAACATCATTTTATCAAGGTCAGTCCTCTCGGGTCAATTGTTTTAGAAGACAAAATTTTACCCTTAGACAGCATAAATGTGAAGATGATGCAGTAGAGAACAAAGAGGCTGCGAAGACTTCGAATCCGATTATACTCTGGCAGGTTTGTGTTTTCTCCCTTTTTTTTTTGTTGTAAATTTTATTTATTTGCTGGGAAAATGGAGGAAGAAAATAGAAGAAAATGTTTTGATGGAATGGCTTGTTATTGCTATTGTTTTGCTTGTTGAGTACGTGTTTGGATTCAGTTGCGAGAATTTTGATGCTCTAGGAGTTGAATATTGGGGATTTTTTTAGGAATTTTGTTCGAGTTTTTAAATTGTTTATGGTTCCAAGAATGTGAAAAGTTAAGCTTGCCTTGATTAACCAAGAACCGTCTTTACACATTTGGAAAATCTGTTGATAAGATGTTGCAATATGGAATGAAAATTTTTAGGAAAATCTGTTGATAAGATGTTGCAATATGTGACATAAGGTGCAGGTGAGAGATATAATGAAGATGCAAGATGAGCTCCACTCACCCATACAGTTTTGTATATCTCATTATATTCGAAAGATGATTGTAATTGAATTTTTGCGTTTGTTTTAGAAATCAAAAGCCAATTGTATTTGAATTTTTTTTTGGTGTTTCTCTATTTAATATAAGAATAATACGTCAGATTATAAAGAATAATTTGTGAGATTATGGAGCATAATTTGGCATATTATGGATCATATTCTCTAATATTACTGTTTATGGATCATAAACTGGCTGGTTATGAATCATAATCTCATAAATTGACAGATTATAAAACATAATTTTTCAAGTTATAAAGCATAAACTAGCAGTCTTTGGATCATAACCTGTTAGGTTATAGCCAACGCTGGTGACCGGAGGTCGGCAGCCGGAGTAATCTGTCAGGTTATGGATCATATCCTGATAGTCAGTGCTGGTATAAGCTGTCAGGTTATGGATCATAACCTGTCAGGTTATGGTCGGCGCCTGTGATTGAAGGTCGGCGGTCGGAGTAATCTGTTAGGTTATGGATCATAACTTGATAGACTATGGTCGATTCTAACGTAATTTGTCAGGTAATAGATCATAACTTGTCAGGTTATGGCTGGAGACACACTGGCGGCCGGCCGGCAACGGGAGACCACTGACATATCTTGTAAATTACCAATTGACAACTGAGGGTAACTTTGGAATTTTAAAAAAATTTAATTTAAATACTTTCTTTTCAAAATTTATACACAAGGGTAATTTTATATTTTTAAATTGAGGTAAATCTAGATTTATACCTAAATGGCATATTTACTAACTAATCATAAATCTTGGCCTATTAATTTTTATTGCTCTTTAAATTAGGCACATTTTCCTCCTTTTTCTTTTTTAAAAATACCTTATAAAATTACGGGCTGGGTCGTACGGTACCGGCCCTAAACTTTTTAGGCTTAGAGCTGGGGTTGGGTTGACTCTCTAGTCTAACTCTCTCTCTTTTAGGGTTGGGGAGGCCCAACTCGATATTTTCCTTTAATCGGGTTGGACGGTCTAAACTTACATCTGTAAATCACCAGTGGAAATAACATGTTAAATGATTAACTGTCGTTAAAACCTATGATGACGGTTTAAAAATTGTTGTCTTATCCACAGTGGTTAAATGTCAAGCACTTTAAACGTGAGTTTTTAACCGTCGTCTAACATGCAACGAAAGCACTTTAGTTGACGGTTTTTTATGTAAACCGTCATTAAATATGCTACTTTTAACGTTGGTTTTTTTGAAAAAACCGTCGTTATATGTGACACTTTAAATAAAAAAATATCTAAAATTTATTTTCTTTTTTAAACAATAATATCTTCACATATTATTTACAAATTAGAAAAAAAAACTCCCATACTTCATCAAACAACAAGAATCACAATATACAAAAAATATTACAAATCGTTTTGCTCCTAATATTTATCATCAATGTACACATAACACAAATCTAACTAACAAAAAATAATCAAGTACAAAGAAAAAAGCAAATGAATGGGAAAAAGTGAAAGAGAGTGCTAGATATTATAGAAGGAAAATAAAAAGTTTCGTAATTTGAAAAGAAAACTATGAGTGGGAAAAAGTCCGCCATTTTTCTTGAAAATTTTTAACATTTAATGATTGTTTTTGAAAAACAGTCGTTAAATGTTGAAGATTAGACGTCGATTTTTTAAAAACCATCATCTAATGTGCTCAAATTTTCTTAATTTTATTTTTTTGTATACATTAGACGACAATTTTTGAAACACGGAAATTCTTGTTATGTATTTTTCATCACATTAGACGATGGCTTTTCTTAAAATGTTGTTAAATAAATGTTGTAAAATGTAGAATTTGTTGTAGTGAATATTGCCTATTATGACAATTAATTATGATAGTAGAGTTCTCAAATTTGTTTGAGAACTCGGAATGAATGTCGATTATATAATTGAATATTTAAATGCTCATGTTTTTATTTTTGGAATAATGAGAAAATGAACAATGACAATAAATGATAGGAGATTTATCTTTATTTTAATATATATGAAAAAAAGACCTGCATGAGCGAATTTTTTTACTTGTATGCAGTCTCATACGAGAATGATTTATGAAAAAATATTTCCACTTTTTATTCCATGTTGCAGTAAGACAACTATATGAATTATCATGACGAACCAAAAGTAAACTTTATAATATATGCGGTTAAAATATATAGTGGGCCATTAATGGATTAACACAAATTTCCTAAAATATTGTGGTAAGTAACATTTTCACAAAATTAAAGTAAGTAAATAGCAGGTATTATAAAAATGTGAAGTAAATAACATTAAGTAGCAAATTTACTAGGTAAATAAAATAAATAATAATTTTTCTAGTAAATTTTGTATTCGCTACTATTTACTCAAAATTTTAAAACCTACTATTTATTTTAATTATAAACTGTATAAAAATGCTATTTACTTCTTTCTCCCTTTCATTTAGCAAGAGACCATGGACTCTCTCTTCATGAACCTATGAAGTGAGGTTTTTTTTCAGGTAATCTTGACAAATATCCTTAAAAGTGCATGAGTTAAAATTTTCTTTTACTCTTGATTTATAATTTTTTTAGCTAACTAATTATATTAATAAAAGGATATTTATCAAGAATAAAGAATAAAAGTTCAGATTCATGCACTTTTAAAGATAAATTCTGTAATTTTATCGTTTTCTCCCTTGATTTTGGGCTTGGCCCATTAGGATGGATAATATTATTTTATTCAACACTTGGAAAATATCTTTAATCTGATCTTGTGGACATGCGCATTGCTAAGAAAACCGTAGACAACTAGATAGGGGGTAAGAGAGTGGCCCCATTTCTGCTTTTGTTTGCCTTCATATTCCTTTGCAGCAAGCTAACGTTGAGGGATGGCAACACTATCAAAATACATTCACGGAGGTATTCCTAAAACCCATCTCACACATTAGTTTGACACCCGCGTCAATAATCAAATGTGTTTTGTGTTAATTGATTCATGATTCTTGATCAATACGAGTTTGGTCACTTGGAAACATTTAAAGGTGTTCATTTCATAAGTTTAAGCAGAAAATTTAAGCTGAAATTTAAATTTTTATGAGAGAGAACACTGTAACAAAAAGATGAATTGTGGAATTATTATCAGTTCTATGTTAATGAATGAGAAAAGGAAGTCTAACCAATCCATTTTCTGACTGCTGAGGCACAGCATCTGATGATGTCAATAAAGAAGAAGTTCCCTTCTACATTGCCAGATAAGTCTACACTTTTTCTCTTCAACAATTCTCAAGTATCATGCTTACTTAGAAAATATTGAAATTATATCTTGCCCAGTTTATAGTTCTGTAGACTTAAACCAAAAGCCAAAATGTTCCCAAACCATCCTGCAAATTTTAGAGTTAAGGCAGTAATGTTTAAAACCTACGGCTACTAAAGAAAACTTTTAAGAAAAAGGTTCGCGCTAAAATATAGCCCAATAAAACATAACATAGACGGGATGGTCGTCTTGGAGGAACCAGGAAAATGCCATAACGAAGACTATTTTAAAAAAGAACAATTGCAGAGTGGAAAAAAGATAAGAAAGATGTCTAATTGAATGAAACGTTATATGGAGAAATTCTTAATTAATCATGTATTGGATATAGACCAAGTGATAAAGGTCACCAAAAAAAAAATAATGTATGTATTCTTAATTAATAATGTTGTGGCTCAGTGCCAATATTCAACACAAAACCAGAAGTGCTCAAAACTAAAACGGTTAAAAACCCATAAAAGTGAAAATTAAGATAGATATATCTAATAAAAGTACCGTACATGACCAGATCTCATTATTAAATTATAACAAATATAAACAAAAAGAAATCTAAAGCAAACAGCACAACAATATCCGTATATACAAATTTAATAAGCAGTGTGGCTCACTCATAAGGAGGGCAAAAAAAATACTGGTACAAGTAATAGTTTGTTTATGTTGATCATATATCAATCAAGCGTCCTTGTAATCTTTTAAAGGCCGTGTTTCAAAGCCTCCTCCAGCTCTCTTGTCTAATGAGTATGGCATATAGGTTCCCAGTATTCTATCCCACATGACAAAGAATGGTTGGGAGAAGTTGTATTTGCTTCCATATAGCTGATGATGAACATCATGATATGCGGTATTGTTTCTGAAAAAAAAGTGGAAGAGGTTCCCAGGAAGCCACAATCCGCAATGATCATCGACGGTCTTGACAGTGGCGAAGGAGAAAAAGAAGATGGAAGCTCGTGGTGACATGCCAGATAGGAGAAACGATAAGGCACCACCGATGGTGTCGAGGAGAAGCCCCTCCAAGGGATGATTATAAAGAGCTCCAAATGCGTAGGGAACCACGAGGCGGTGATGTTGGGAATGGATGTGCTTATACAAAAACTTATTATGGTGCATGTATCTGTGCATGAAGTACTGCCAAGTATCCAAAACCAACATAGCAGTAACAAACTGTCGTGCTAAAACTATTAGAGAAGGCTTTGGACCTGCAGCGTCCCCACTGTCATTCCCTGTGACCTACACAAGGACATGAATCCATCAAAAACTAGTCTCCTACATAAACAGAGCAAGATAAAACCCTATGAATATATTCATAATGCATAATTTTTGGATTGTCAACTGCAAGTTGTTACACACACACACGCAAAAGTAACAATGTGGATTTGCAGGAAACAACATAAAGAGGGGAGGTGCTGTTAAAGAAGAGTAGCTGAATGCAGGAGGTTATGAACAAGGAGAATTTTTGAAACAAAGCAAAAACCAACTACACCATTTGCTTTCCTTTCATCAGCTGACAACAAGGCTTTTGATAAAGCAACCTGGCTTGTAGGACCTGAAGACTCCATTATACATCAACAAAAGTACAGGTATCATGCACCATTGCCATAGCCTAATCAACTAAAGGAAACTTCATTTAAATGCTTTTTTGCACAATTCTCAGTGCATCATTCTTAACGCTACCAGCATCAGCATGAGAAGAGATATACAAGAACCTTACCCTCGTAAACAAAGTATCATAACAATTAACCCTCGCGTAACTTCTAAATCAAAAAAAAAAA